ATATGGTTTTACAAATTAAATTCTTAATAATTATCATTAATTTACATTTACAGTATTTATATTATATAACTGAGATAATAATTTGAATGTCTTAAATTCTTAATAATTATCATTAATTTACATTTACAGAATTTATATTATATAACTAAGATAATAATTTGAATGTAAATGTATCCATCACTAAGATCTTACCATTTTATCATTTTATGTTATTGAATCGCAGCAAAACCAGTATTATACAGTATTTCAATAGGACTCATTTATATAATAATAATTACAAGCTAAAATATTTTATTGAACAGGTTATTCATTCATTAACAAAATTAAATACTCCATTAATGTACTTTAATAGAGTATACTTTACTACAATAATGGTATTTGTCTAATATTTAGTATTCTAATTTGTTTAAATTTAGTATTTTTATTTAATAATAATAATAATAATAATAAAAATAATAATAATAATAATGATAATAATAATAATAATAATAAAAGTTGCCCACCCACTTTAACAATGGTATATTCCAATTGGGTGGTTTATGTCCTGGGTGGTTTATGTCCTACATTCGCCTGGCCTAAGGAAGAAATATAGGAAATCGGAATAAAGCCACCCCTGTCCAAAGCCACCCAACAACGGATTATACCATTGTAAGGTAGGGGTGGTCGACAATGGCGTGTTTGTCTTGATGCTGGTCTACAATAGGTTTCTGCTGCAGTGCTAGGAGTGTCTTTGTATCAGCTTTTGTGTATTATGAATTAGAAACTGGGTGTAGTCTACATAGGCATAAACATCATTAGCTTCTAATGATGCAATTTAGTGGTGTTTTTTTTAAAATTTTTATATGATAATATTGAGTTATGTTTTTATACATACTTTCATTTCTATTGATATACTATATAGACAGTATTTTATCAGTTAAAAAACAAGGTATACTTTACATTTGTTATACTTGTGTACTGTAATGCAAGACTATATTTTCTTTTTCTCACTTTTTTGATTATTTATTATTCTTAATTGTATTAGCAAGTAAGTAATAGCAATCAAAGTAAGGTATTTACTATGTTAATGATTATAGTGGAACATAAATGCCTCTCAATCATAAATTTATCATCGTGGAAATTAAATTTGTCTGGCCATACATATAACATAAAGGCATTGTCATCGAAATGTTCTACTTAATCATTTTTTTTAGTTCAATAATTAATAGTAATTTCTCAAAAATTTTATTATAAAAAAATAATATTAATACTACTGAAAAAAAAAAAGAATAAAAGTTAAAAAAAATTCATTTCCACTTAATTGCATAATTAAGAGAAGCTATGATGTTTATGATATGTTTATGCCTGTGTAAGGGAAATTAATATTATGGTACACTGTAAAAAGAATAAAATGTTGACTTTAAAAAAAAAAGAAAATACATTTCCTTCTATAAACCACTCAATTGCATCATTAGGAGAAGCTGATGATGTTTATGCCTATGTAGACTACACCCAGTTTCTAATTCATAATACACAAAAGCTGATACAAAGACACTCCTAGCACTGCGGCAGAAACCTATTGTAGACCAGCATCAAGACAAACACCCCATTGTCCACCCCTACCTTACAATGGTATAATCCGTTGTTGGGTGGCTTTATTCCTACATTCAAAATATACAGTTGGAGATTTTAAGGCAGCGGCGGGCGTAATAAAAAAAACAAAAAAAAAAACAACTTTGATTTAGTATGAAATTCGAAATCATTATTGGGGGGGCACTATATTATTCATGTCATCAAGTTGTACATAAAACACAAGGCGCAAGATGTGTAAAATATTTTCTTATTTCATTCACAACATTGAAAATAAATAAATAATTCAAACATATCAACAAATGAAATGTCATCATAGTTGTACATAAAAACAAATATAGTTTTAATATTCTTGTTTTAATATGTTATGTTTTCATACCGGTACATACATTCTTAATTATTTACTGTCTCAACTATAAAAAAAAATCAACAAATGTATGAATGACATCCTACGGCTGTATGTATTTTTACACTACATTTTTATTCATTATCACGCAAGAAAAATAAATCTAACATATCAACATCAAACATTTTCACATTGTACATAAAACACATCGGAGGATGTATACTGTACAATAAAACTAACAATACATAATTACCTATTTGGCATAGGGCCTATATTATATTAATAACACACATTCTACTGGATCTTTAAACAAATATAGTTTTAATATCCTTGTTTTATCGCGTTATGTTTTTATACCGGTAAATAAATTATTAAATTCACTGTAGGCCTAGGCTTATATATTTTCTCCTTTTTGTTACTGACGTATCCATCTGTTGTATGACTACGTTCTTCTCATTGGGGGCTGTTGTATATTCGATGGCCTCTTTGACGTTCCATACATTTGGCGTGGCGGCCGAAATGATCGAACACCGCCTAGGCCTAGGCCCTAGCCTAGGTAGCTAAATTACTGATTATGATTTGATTGATTAGGGCCTAGAGGCTAGGCTAGAAGCTTAGGCCTAATCATTAAAGGACAAGACTACCTATACGCTCAGCGGCTGTGTATAATGGCCTTAACAGATCTTCTTAGGTCTTAGGCCTATATGCACAGCGGCTGTGTATTATACAGTATAAGGACAGAACGGATCTTATACGTACAGCAGCTGTGTTGTATATAATGGACTTCAAGTATCTTATATGCAGAGTGGCTGTGAATAAGGGACAGAACGGATCTTATATGCACAGCAGCTGCAAAGGTTCCAACCTTCACAATTCGATCCAAATTTAGTAATAATAATAATAACAAACATTTATTTATTATTTAAAAAAAAAAAAACAAACAAAAAACTAAGTTTGATGATCAAGTAATCGTGCACAAGTTATTAAAAAATCTAAAAAGTGCAAACGAATAAAAAAACAGAAGCTCATTACGTAAGAAATCAATTCATGTAAAAGACAAATCAGAAAACGCATTAAACAACTTAATAGTATGGAAGCCGAACAACTGGCAAACAGTATTAATACAACAGATGAAAGTAGGAAAATGTTTAAAGCAAAACATTGACAAATAATTAAACCAACAACAAAATCTATGTGAAAAACGAAGATGGTTCATTTGTGCCATCGGATACAAAAAAAGCAGAAATTATTAAAGACTTCTTCGAAACAAAATTTAACCCTGAAAGTGTTACTCCCATTGAGCCGTTCATTGGACCACCTAAACCATTAAGTGAACCAATTACAACTGAAGAAGTTGAAAAAGCCACAAGTAAATTAAATAATAAACGTGCAGTTGGTCCAGATAAAATTCCTTGTGAACTAATTAAATATGGACCAAGCAAACTTCACAAAATTTATGCAGACATAATTAATCAGTCGTTCGAAAACCATCAATATATTGAATGCATTGGCAAAGCAGTATGGACTTGGGAAATATAGCTGAAATATATATTTTGGGATCATAATTACCTAATTAAAACATGTGCCAAATTTGGAATCTTAAAACTATGAACCATGGAAAGGGAGTACAACAAAAAAATCCCTTTCTCATTAATAACCTCAGTCTATCATAAGAAAACGTATACAGGTTTGTTAACAAATTTCCATAGCTTTACGTCACATACATATAAACTCAGACTTCTACGCAGTCTAAGGGCGTGTTTCTGCTGAATAACACCAAAAACATGTTTTTTATAAACGGTTAAATTCCTTCTGAACGCGTTTCTGGTAAAAAGTGCAATAAAAACACAGTAATGCGAGCATTGGCAGGTGGGCGGAGCTTAAATGACGGTCACCAACGGAAGTTAAGGCTGACCTTACTTCTTGCGAGCTACAGCGTATGCTACGAAAGAAGTAAACAACACACCACGAAAATATGAAAAAAGTATGGTATAATCATCAAGAATGTCATCCTATTAGTTTAATTTTCTTCTTCGCCCCGAATTTCCTGCGGATGAGCGATCTAACCAACGAAGAGGTCAATTTGGCTCACCGAAACGCTGCAACTTCTGTAGCTGATTCAATTTGTGTATACAGCTACTTCCAAATTTATCTTATGAGTGCATTTTGTTATCGTATTTAAGTTCGCTCTTTCAATAAATAAATCTGTAACTGTATTTTCCTATAGAGCAATAAATATTGTAGAGTATACATTATTGAAGGTATGGTATATATATATATATTTTTTTTTTTTTTAGGGTGTTGCGAAGTACCTGTTAGAGATCTGGGAATAAATTTAAACAATTTCTTTATTTGGAAGTAGCAGGCGTGTTCCAGATAATTGTGGTGTAGACTGAAATGTATCACTGCACAAAACATTTGCCATATGATCACAAACATATTCACAAATACACACTTATACATATATATTTATAATGTAATTTATTTGCTAATACCTGTTAATGTTTTTTAACATATTGACAATGGCAAATCATAGGGCTTATGTACTGGTATTTTTTCTGAACAATAAGCAGGTTTGAGAAACATTGATGAAGATCAATTAATATCCATGTAAGACCTTTTATACTCCTTTATGTTTCTTAATAATTGGAACAATATTCTTTTCTTTAAACTTCCTAAATTTATTTAAAACTTTACAAACATACATTATCCATACTTTTGTCATGGTGATCAAGTTTGGGTAAGCACTTTATATCACTATTTTGATATTAATTGTTTATTCATTTAACAACATACATATTGACATCTGGAAGGTAAATCGTTTTGTCCTTACTCAAATTAGTATAATGATAATTTTGGCCTACCTAGTCAAGTCCTAATTAATAATATAGGACCCCTATCGATATAGGACTGCATCCGACTAGGCTCCACCACCTGGCCACCGCACGGAACCACAACAAAAGGGACCAGAGTAACCAATGCGTGGTCCTGTGTGTTACGTTGTTGATGAATTAACCTGCACACAAATTTTCTCTTTGGATGGAAAGTGGAATTTTCAATGAATAATTTGTTCATTAACCCACAGGTTTCACTCAAGGACTCAAAATGACTGGAACTATGCCAGTGAAGTTGAAATGGTTGGAGCACCTCAACTCCTCCTGGATTATGGAAGACTGGCGTGAGGTCACCTGTCGAGAAGGTGTGCAGAAACTCTACGAAAGACTCAAAACAAACAAAGAGATATCAAACCTTCCAAGGCAGGGAATTCACCTTCAGGGCCCTCAGCTTCCTGATTTTGAGAGAGAAACGCCTTCTCTTGAGGAACAAGATCACTATCTAAAAGCACTTTTGAATAATCAGCTAAGCTTAGCAAGAAATGTCTGTAGTGCATCACCTTTCGCTTCTGGCCTCCAGAAACGGCTGGTTATTCTTCAGCGGATATTTTATGCCATATCAAGTAAGTTTCATGATAAGGAGAAAGTTAAACAAGAGCAGAAGTTACAGCAGTCACAGTCTAACAAACTGGATGATAAAGCCAGCCTTCAGAAGGTTAATTTTGGAGCTGATGCCCTTGTTGAAATGGGTGTACGCACAGGTCTCAGTTTGCTGTTTGCTCTCCTTAGACAAAACTGGTGTCAGCCACAGCTACAGGGCCAAACTCGTGTTAATTTATGTAATGATGTTTTACGAACTGCCATTGAGGTTGTTGGTACCTTACCCCCACTGTCACTTGCCAATGAAAGCAAAATTCCAAACCTGGGAATCGAATGCCTGAAGCAGGTAACAATGTTTCTAAAATCTGCTACTGTTCCTAGTTCTGGAGCAGATCTTGAAGGCCAGCAATTGGCATCAGAATTGATCCTTGGTCTTGCAGTACAGCGTGGATCATTACAATTCCTCTTGGAATGGATTGAGATGGCATTAAATGCTTCAACTGCAGTAACCTCATCTGAGTCATCTTCTGTGTACAAACCCAATTGCATTTCCTATGATTTCTACCTTAATGTTATTTGTCAGATGCGCAAAGCAGTGGTAAGTGCTCATTTCAGCTTGGATACAAAATTAGCTTTTCTGTGGAACCTTAAAATAAATTAGATTTAATTAATAATTAGTTAGGTCATTTTTTCCTGTCAAGGTTTTCTCAGCAGTTTTTTTCATCCTAACCCTATTCTATTTAAATTGGGGGCCACCCAGAATTTTGCCTCAAAATTAAAACTACAGCATATCATTCGGCTTTGTCAACGTTTTATTAGTGAATTTGTCATCTCGGACCTAAAAACTTTCAAGATCAATCAAAGTCTACCAAGAATGTAGTATAGGGCTCAACTTGGTATCTTAAAAAAAAAATATAATTTTATGTTCATAACAACCTATTTGGGGTAAAATCCTGATTTTTTTTAGTTAAAATACCTAAAAACACACCGCAAACCTCCAAAAACACAGTGAACCCCATCCAAACCGCTGAGAAAACCTTGACAGGAAAAAATAGAGGAAAATAAATCAAATCTGTATGTACAGTAAACCAAACATCAAGTAATTATTAAAAACAAACAAAAGCAAAGCAGAGGAAGTTTAATCATACTGTAAAGCACCTACACTATGCTAAAATCATCACATTACAGTTTACAAACAAATTAATCTGCAGTGGCTCATATAGTTCACAGATGCTGGGATTGTTTTTTGTATTTAGTAGCCTTTCACCAGTTATCAAATAATTGCAGATTTCATGTTTGGCGGTTTTCTACTTATTTAATATTAGGGCTGTCTGACAGATAAAGGAACAAGTGGAGTAGATATACAAGATACAGGACAATGCCCATTATATAAGGCTGCACTGTGCCTTCTGGATGAGGTAAGTACCTATTTTGTATTTCATGGAGGCTATTGTAATGTATCTTCAATAGAAGCAACTGAGGCACAATATTTCCCTTATTTTGACTGAGAATCTGTGTGATTTTATTACAACTACCGTACTCGCGCGAATAAGCGCCCCTCTCGAAAATTTCATAAGCGCCCCGTTTAAATAAGCGCCCCGTTTGAATAAGCGCCCCCTCATAAGATTTTCTTTTTAGCAAGTCAATAATCCAATCAATCCTGGGTCTGTGGTTGTTGGCATGATTTGAGCTGTAGAGTGGAAACGCATTCTTCTTCAGTCGATATCAAAATAAGGATATTTCTCTTGAACAGATGAGAGTTCCGATCCCTGGACAGATGAGAGGTCCAATCCCTGGACAGACAGTATATTTCCAACTTCAATCTTTTTTACATATTTGTCTATGTCTAGTCCTACTCCTCTTTTTCTTTTTTCGACCTTAAGCACATTCTCATCTAAGTTTTCAAGAAAAATACAATGATCCTGCCATCCTGCTAATCTCAATCGACCGATGGCCAACAAGCTAACCACTACCCACCACTAACTGCATCTGCTATTTTGCTGTAAATATTCACGCATTCTTGTTATGAGCCATGTTCTCTGGACGATTATCTTTTCTAACCACCATTCGTAATGTCCTTATATAGGCCTAATCTTTTTTCATTCAAAAAGTGCCTCTTGAATTTTTAATTATTGAAATAATTTCCCATAAGAACCCATCGATTTTCATCTATTTTCCATAAGCGCCCCCTCAATTTCCACTCTGTTTTCATAAGCGCCCCGTTTAAATAAGCGCCCCTTTTGAATAAGCGCCCCTCAGAAAGTGCAAATAATATTTTAAGCGCCCGGGCTCTTATTCGCGCGAGTACGGTATTATTAAAACAAATTCTGGCTTCTGTGTATTCCATATCCTCTTTTTAAATCTGCCCATGGTTATACTGGACAGACAGTTGTTATGCATGCAACAAGAAAGATCTCCATAATTTGTAAATAAAAATATTGTATTTTTGACAATTTCTCAAATTATATTGTCATGTAACTAATATCAAGTAATATCCTGAAATTATTTATTCTTGTTTTAAGATTACTCGCCTCGGCTCAGAGTACGCCAGGACATGCACTTGCCCGGAAGAAAACACAAGCAATGTAATTTTACCCGAAACAACAGAAGTGTACGTGTGGGGAAGTAACAGTAGCCACCAACTAGCCGAAGGAAGCCAAGAAAAGATTCTTCAGCCAAAGTTAGCACCCTCATTCGCCAACCCCCAACAGGTGAATATATACCGTATTTATTCAAATAAACACCCCATTTTGAATAAATTCCCCCTCAATTGCCTCATTTGGAATAAAGCCTCTCTCAAATAAACATACTAGGGGAATTTAATATTTCCTCAATAAACACCCCCTAAATGACTATAAACAACAATAATGGAAGAAAGATCATTCTCAACACATTCTATTGTATTTTACTCCAGTAGAATTATATTTTTTCTCTAGTTGGGATATAAGCCTTTAGGATCATGCAATAACACATTTTGAAGGTAATTACAGCATGTGTTTTCAACGTCTACTTCGTGAATATTTACCTGGATAAACCAGGGAACAGTGAAATTACATGGAAACATCTCGAAGCGAGAACATCAAAGGTTATAACCCGCAGTACCACCGCTCTTATAATCAACTGATAAACAATTTACAACTAAGGCCAAAAAAAATAAATGTTCTGTCTCTGGTCCGCGCGTGTGTCGATTTAGACACTGCGCGTCAATTTGTTTAAATTTTTCACTGGACATACAACATTGCCACCTATACCGAATTTTGGGGTGCGGCTTATCCATTCTAGGTTTGGCCATTGCTAGCCCAATTAATTAGCCTAGGGTAGGACCTGTTTGTAGGCCTAGTATTTGTAATTATACTCACTACAGTGCATGCTGTACTAGGATTCCTACTATGATTTCTACGACATTCAAGCAATAGTTTGGGTTGTCTAAATCATTCATAAACAATTTTGAAACACGCTGTTCGAAAACTACCAAACTACTTTTCGCTAATTTGGTCCTGGGTTTACGTGAGCAGCTTCATTTACGAATGTCGCAACAAAACACACGTGGGCTGGTTGTTGAAACTTGCTGTTCGATGTTCCGGGTTTCCGGTGGCTTGTACCGTTATAGAGAGAATGATCCGCTAAAATTTCTGAATAAAAACTTGTGAAATTAATTTATGCTATAAAAACACAAGTTTTCTTGAAGTTGTAATAATTATTGTACTTGTTTATAAAACGTGGTGCGTGATGAGTGCATGCTTCGCACAATAGGCTGTGAGTAGTCATGACTTAGGCCTAGAATTACCAATATATTAAGCTTACGACTGTTATTTGTCACCATAATAATAGAATGATTGTTTAAAATAGATAAGGGTCATCCATAATTATCAACATTTTCAAAGGAGTACAAAACATATTCTTTAGGGGTGCGGCTTATACACTGTAATATAAGGGACCTTTTGGCATTTTATCGTGCGATACCGTAGCTCGGCGAGTTTGCTGAGCGTGTAAGTATGGGATGAAATTCCGTCCTCCTCCTCAAGCAGTGGTGAGCGACATTTGCACCCGGGATCGAAGAAAGTCACAGCTATGGTGGGATCATCGCCTAGGCCTACTTCGCGATGATTGTTTTAATATTTTGCAAATATGCTCGATGGCTAATGGTCTATATTCTATTTTAAAATAATAATCAAGCAGTAAATCTAGAGTATCAATATTTTAACTACAGTTTGACATGGATTCGGGCCTAGGCTAGATACCAAGGACGGTGAACGTAACGTGTAAGCCTGTCACTCATGATCAGGTATAGCCTAGCCCTATATTGCCTAGTATTGTTGGGAGGTTCCATGCCTTACAGGCGACCTAGCATGGATGTTTGTTGCGAATGCTTTTTCCGTTTAGCCTAGAGAGAGAGAGAGAGAGAGTACTAGAGTTGCGCACATCTCTGTGTCGTAATACAGTCAGCAGATATACTTGCTAGGACAGTAAATCATGTATCCATAATAATTATTATTTAAAAAAAATAAAATTATATTAGGCCCTATGCTTGTGTTCACTTTTAAACATACTTGTGACAATACAGACATGTGGGATGGTGTTTTTATGCAGGGAGGTGGTAGTTTATATTGCTGTAGTATTGTACTCCTCTCCTGTATGCTATTTTATTGTTATTTATTGAATTTATGATGTAACAATTAACAGGAAAAAAAATGAATGATTGCGGTACACCATGTATGTACTCTAGGGGAGCGTTCGAGCCAGAAAAATATCCGTGCGAGGTCCGTGTATTTACACGGAAGTTAAATGCCGTGCGTGGCTCGAACGGGGGTAAGATGTAAAAAACATCTGGAACACGCTCGCCTATTTTGACCACCAAATTTAGGGTTATAGAACCGTGTATCGCTGTCAAAGGCCATTATCGCGACCATTAATCATGTTTTAATGACTCTACTGTCTGGCGGTCAACATGAATTCAATTTAACACGCGCGAAAACAATAGGCCTGTCCAGTTTTACAAAAACATATGCATTCGCTGACCTGTTGTTAATGTTATAGCATCATCTTCATCATTTCAACATGTCTGTGTGGACCGAACCTATGATATGTTACCTTCTCTCATTGGAGAGACAACTGGACGGCACCCACCGAAACAGCGGTATTTACAAAGAAATAACTGCAAAGATCGAAGAAAAATTTAGGGGAAAGCTGACGGTGACACAGGTCACCAATAAACTGAAGTATTTGCGCAGGGAGTACGTACAGTACAAGTGCGTGAAGCGTGGTTAGAAACGTAAATATTGCGTGGCATGATGGGATATACTATTGCCTCGCTGACCTCAAACGAGTATTTCCGAGGTAAATTTTTACACGGTTAGACAAGATAAGTTTGTACTCGAATGCTGGGACCCCCTGTGGTGTAAAGCCGTGCGTTTACCTGTCATATACACGGAATTTAATAGGCGTCTATGGCTCGAACGCACCCTAGTTCTAAAAGAAAATTAGGTGCAGCCCTCGGAGTTAAATCAAAAATATACTGTGGCCCTTCGTCTTATTTTTATGCCCATCCCTGCAATACATTTCTTTTAGAACACCAAACATGAATGAAATGCGAGGAAAAGAGTTACAATTTAATACTGTACATTTATTAACAATATAAGATGAACGTTATTCTACAATATTCATTTGATGTTGCCTGTTTTTAAAATACAGTAAAATTACCTGTACATTTTATCTAATTACCATTACATTTTATCTAATTGCAATAGCAATCCAATTATAAATTATATTTTCTAAACCAGTTATAGTTATTAATAATTCTGTCTTTTTATTATTAGCACTTTCAGTGACGCAGCACTGGATTCACAAGTGGATTTAATAAACAAAAAAAAAAATGAAAGAAAAGTAAATCAGAATGAAAAGAACTAATTTAATTTGGATCAAGCAAGGAAACATGACTTTGCAGTGGAAATGATTAAACATATGACAGCCTGGGTTTTGATTAAGGTTTTAAAGGTTGAAAAATCATTAAAATTTATTATAAATTACATCTAATCTTATTTTGATTGAGGAGGAGACAAGAAAGCAGCAGCGCAACAGAGTAAAAATGATGACCTGAGAGTCAACCTCTCACTCTTTCATCTCTGCCCATTTTCAGCTTCCTTAGAAAATTCACTGGTCTTCGATCACCAGATTTTGCGCGAGTCCGACACAAAATATAGGTTCAGTAATGGGCTAATATCTCTGATAGCCACAATTGCTCGCTCAAGAGACTTAGGGCATTTGTAAGTAAAATATCAAATCTTTTAATACATCGAAACCGGAATGATGAGCAATTGTGGCTGTTTTTGCAAAAAATCCAGTAATCTCCAGAAGGTAATTTGAAACAGTGTAACTAACAACATTGGATAGTCTAGAAAAGTAAGTAATTTGGCACAATGCCAGTACACATACTTACTTAACATGCGCACAGGCGTTAAGACGTCTGCGTACGCACGCGTAAATCTTTTCAAATGTTTCAAATTATACTTTTAAAAAAAAATAACGAGCATATTTAGGCCATTTTGAAAATTTAAAAACATTTCAATCTGCACCGCTCGCGCTTCCTGAGGGTCGAAGTGCGGCGGATCACCAAACTCGTCCTCAGTGACGAGCTCAAATCTAGTCTTAACTATTCATCATTTCTGAATCATATTAAGTGAGCCTAAATTTCAGGTCAAGGTTTTAATTTTCTGTTCGCGCTTTTTAGCGTGCGCGTACGCGTGCGTTAAAATTTATATATGCTTAAAATCATGAATATATTTAATCAGTTATAGCTCCTTAGGATGAAAGGTGACCCCCAATTTTTATTACATATTTGGAAAGCACATGAGTTTTAGATATGATTTTATAGATCATAATGGCTGATCGGACATTGTGACGTAATCATATTGCCATCTGAATTCAATAAAACTTATTTTTATCGATGACGTCATAGTTGAAAATACGCATTTGAGCCTATCTCGCTTATCCTTTTTCGATCGTCTTCCAACTTTAAGTATGTTGTAGCTGAGACAGTTCTGATAACGTCATCATGGTCAAAATACATTTTTCTTCAGACCCCCCTTGTCTTTCTTTCCTTAAAACATTGAAGACCCCATAATCAGCTTAACCATTCGTCATTTCTGAATCATATTAAGTGAGCATAAACTTCAGGTCAAGGTTGAATGTAATGTACCTTAATTTTCGGTTCGCGAATTTTAGCGTGCGTTTTATAGCTCCTTAGGATGAAAGTTGACCTCCAATTTTCATTACATATGGTATTCTGATAGCACATGAGTTGGTAGATATGATTTTATATATCATAATAGCTGATGGGACATTGTGACATCATCATATTACCATCTGAATTAAAAAAACTGATTGATAATAACTCCCTCACCAACAGGCTTTTGTCAATGAGAGTTGATACATACTGTACATCTCATATCAGGAGTCAACATTTTGTGACATTACCATGCGCAAGTCGTCATGATGTGCGCGTTCGCATGAGTAAATCCTTGAAAATGCTCCAAATTCTTTTTAAAAATCTGAATTGGTGTATACTTTAGTCCATTTTCAGCATTTAAAAATTGTTCAATCCGAACCGCGCACACTTCGAGGGTCAAAGAGCGGCGTATCACCTAACTCGTCCCCAGTGACTAGTTCAAATCTAGTTCTTCATTCATTTTGACGTGCGCAGTACGTATGGAAG